CCCCAAAACCCCAAAACCCCAAAACCCCAAAACCCCGATTTAGGTAATCAATATTGAATTATATGATTATTTCAGGTATGACCCCCTTCTTTTGTCGTAATATGAGATTTTCCTCATTCCTTTAGGATTTTTTGAAATAGAACTAGAGTTCTGTACTTTCTTTCGCTGATTACTTAAGTCGTTCCTATTCGTCTTAGCTAACTTTTTTGGTCTTTTAGAGACTACTCTTTCTCTGTGTTTAGTAGAGTATTCCTTCAAAGTCTCTTGGTTCTCTTTACCTGAGCAGATGCGCTTAGAAAAAGCTACTGATTCGTCCATATCCTCGGTATAGTCATTAGAATCATCTCCAAGATCAGCTACTGCATGCTTAACACCGCTTGTATTGACAGCTGTGAAGTTATTTGTGGTTGTTTCAATACTGCTATTTATACTGATCTCTTGTTCACGTTCATATTTGCCAAACATTTTAGTGTACCTGGGGCTTTCCTTTCTGCTAAGTTCTCTTTGTTTAGACTCCTTCTGATATCTTGAGTTGCTTTTCTTCATCTTAGGTTTAGACTTCGGTGTTCCATTAGTATCACTTAGGTGTAGGTTAACTTGAGAGTCATCTATGTTTCTGTTGTTCTGAGCTTTCTTCGAAGAAGGGAATCCTGGGCTTCGAGCTGTAAATATCAATCCATCCCTGCTAGTCGAGACAGAGTTGCTAAACCTCTTGGTTAGCTTTTTGAGTTGTTTAGCATAAGCATGCTTCTCTTTCTGGATCTGGTCAACTTTTAGATCCATATTTCTTAGCATGTTTTCCGTAGTCTCCAGTTTTGCAACAACTCTTTCGTTACTCACTGTGTGGCTGGGATGTAAATCGGTCTGAGATGCCATGATTTGGTTGTGCTGGGCGAGTATGCTCCCAAAGCCTTGATTAAATTGTCCACTACAACTGAGTCCTCTCATCACGCTTTGACACACAGGCCTACTCATGCTCATTGCCATTGGATTCTGTCAAGTGTTATTCAGATTTGATTCAAAATTTAAACAACTAGCTGTTGGATTAATTGATTGTCTCACAAATGATGTTGAAGGGGGATTCTGAAAAGGACCAAATTGGAAATCTTTCCTACTCACACTTCTTGGTCTGTGTAAACCAAAATTAAGCAGCTCCATCTTTGAACTTTTGTTTGAGTAAAGATTCATATTTTTGTCTGTATTGGGAATTGTGGAGACATCATCTTCGAGTCTCATAGTAAAATCATAATCGTCTGTTTTATTGCCAGGACATTCATTTTTATTAGTAATATGCTCATGAAATGCTGTTGGTTCGAGGCAAACATTTCATTTTCTGCACTCCATAGAGCTAGCAGAGTCAACCATATTCTGTCACATTCTCAGAAGGGTCATCTCTGTGTTAGAAAAATTTTGCCCATTGTGATCTCCCCATTGTTTGGAAGATGGAGTGCTTGCCTTAGAACTAGCATCTTTAAATTTTCTCTTCAGTTGTTCTATTTGATCTTCTTGGGCTGCAATAGTTTTAAGCAGTTTCCCCCTTCTTTCTTCATACTTATCTCTGTTCTTTGACAATTTTTCTTTCAAGCTTTCAACCTTTTTGCTTTCCCCAGTTAGTGCATTGTTAAAATTCTGAGCCATTTCCTCAATCTCGTCATCTTTTTGTGAGAGCCTCTTCTCAAGTTTATGGTTGAGCTTGAGAACAGAGACAAGGCTTTCTTCCTCTTCAGCAAGGTTCATAAATTGTACTGGTGCATTCTTCATCTGATCTATTTGCTTCTCAAAGGTTTTGGAGTGACGCTTTAGCCTTGCATTCTCCTTTTTCAATCGGTCATTTTCCTTGCTCATCCTTGTAAACTTTTCAGAGCTCATTATTATATTATTCTGAGCTTTATCAGAAGAATCCTTCCTCAACAGCTCAATCTCCTGGTTAGCTTGAGAAAGTTGCTCCATTAGACGCTCTTCCTTGGTCTTGAAATCTTCATTGATCTTATCAAGTTCTATCTTACACTTGGTCTCAATGTTCTCTCGATCTACAGAGGTTTGCTTGACGAATTTCTCAATTTCCACACGTTTCTCGATCTCCTGGTCCTTCTTTAGGATAAGGATTTGTTTCTCTAGCTCTGTGTTCTCAGTAATAATCCTCTTGATTTCCTTCTGCATGCTTGAGCATGATTCAGTAAGGTTAGTACATTTCTCCTGAAGCTCGTTATTATTTTTGATTCAGATGTCCTAACTGAAATTCATAAGTTTTCTCAGCATCAGCAAGCTCTCGCTTATGCTGATCAGAGAGGAACTCAAATTGTTTCACAAACTGATTCTCCTTCTCAGAAGCATTGTCTTCTTTAAGGGCTTTCATCATAGTATTGTGCAGCTTTTCAATACTCTGCTCTCTTTCTTGGGCTTCTTTCAGCTTCATGTCCATTAATTCAATTTTTTGTAGAAAATATTTCCGTTCCTGGTCAAATTTGAGCATGACTCTATTAAGCTCCTTCTCAAGGTCTCAAACTCGAGTATTTTGGGCCGACCTGTGAGAATTCTCGCCTGATTCCGTACCTCTCGGGTCAAGATCATCATTGATTTTGTTGATCCTCGTTACTGAATTTTCCTTAACAAAAGAGCCGCTTGAGGCTGCTTTGGAGTACTTTTTAAGATCGAGTCAGTCTAAACTAGTTCGTGAAGCCTCCCATGGCTTCCGAGAAGTGCTCGAACGGATTGAAGCAGTATGCGAAAGCCCGAGGTTTATGTTCTTCCGTGGTTTGGCCTTAAACGAATGGCTAAAATTATCCATATTTTCTAAGAATTTAACCGCTGATTCAGGAATTTTATTTCAAAATTTGTAAAATATTGGGGTTTTGGGGTTTTGGGGTTTTGGGGTTTTGGGGTTTTGGGG